AGGCATTTTTGAAAACAACAAAATGGCTGCAGCTGATGCTGAACTTTCTGTAGAAATACTATTTTCAAACTGTGATGGCAAAAACAACACTCATTCACACAGCTCATCTCTGCACACTGTAGTATGTCTACATTTGTCCGTCACTTAGGGGTGTGCCATATCATCTCGTTTGAGATAATACTGATATAGTTTTTAATAGGATATATGAGGTATTCATATCGTGACATTTGCGATATTTTGACTTGTTGACGTATGACGTCATACTGTTACCCACAGCAACAACAAGCATGGCTGAAAGCAAAATTATTACAGACTACGCAGTGGTTCCAAAAAGAGGAGCAGCTTCAGTAGTGTGGAATAAACTGTGTCGTCCTGAATGTTTTATGAACAGCCCCGGACTTCTCAGACTCTTTTAGTGACTTAACGTTCAGAGGGAACTCATTCAGTGGCTCCTCTGGCAGCAGCACAGCGTCTCTCCCTCTCCTCTTTGATCTGTTATAAACTTTTGGTAATGTAAACCTACGTGATGCTTGTGGCTTGACAAAAAACTCGATATATGTGAATGTGTGATAGTTGTGGTATCATAACAGCCTGTCACAGGTTACAGAGTGATGATTAGAGGAGAAATGGCAGAGCATAAAGGTCCAGGTGGAAAAAAAACAATTCAGTCATTTAGGATTTTACTAAAAGAAGGAAATCACCTGTTGATTTATATATAGATCCCAGGGGACATTTTTAGTATTTGGGAGACGTAAATGTGTAATTTGTGGTTGATTTTATTTTGTTGAACTATTAATATTGTGACAGAATCTGAATCTCACTCTGAGTTACTGTTGTTCACAAACTAAATAAATGAGAGATCATTATTAGCAATACCAGGTCAACCCAGGTTAGCCATTGTTAACACTACCAGCTCAAACCAGGTTAGCCATTATTAGCAATACCAGCTCAAACCAGGTAAGCCATTGTTAGCAATACCAGCTCAAACCAGAAATTGGATGACCCGCCCCCGAGACCCCCGTCTCTGTTTCCTCACTTGCTGAGGTAGTGAAACAACTCCGAGACGGCGGAGCCCCGGGGGTGGATGAGATTCGTCCTGGATATCTCAAGGCTCTGGATGTTGTAGGGCTGTCCTGGCTGACACGCCTCTGCAACATTGAGTGGACATCGGGGACAGTGCCTCTGGAGTGGCAGACCGGGGTGGTGGTCCCCATTTTCAAGAAAGAAGACCAGAGGGTGTGTTCCAACTACAGGGGGATCACACTCCTCAGCCTACCCGGTAAGGTCTACTCCAGGGTGCTGGAGAAGAGGGTCCGGTCGATAGTTGAACCTCAGATTGAGGAGGAGCAATGTGGTTTGCAATGTGCGGAACTGTGGACCAGCTCTTTACCCTCGCCAGGGTGCTGGAGGGGGCATGGGAGTTTGCCCAACCAGTCCACATGTGTTTTGTGGATTTGGAGAAGGCTTACGACCGTGTCCCCAGGGGCATCCTGTGGGGGGTGCTCCGGGAGTATGGGGTTGGTGGCCCCTTGCTAAGGGCCATCCAGTCCCTGTACCGAAGGAGCATGAGTCTGGTTCGTGTGGCTGGCAGTAAGTCAGACCTGTTCCCGGTGAGGGTTGGACTCCGCCAGGGCTGCCCTTTGTCACCGGTTCTGTTCATAACTTTTATGGACAGAATTTCTAGGCGCAGCCAAGTGGTGGAGGGTGTCAGGTTCGGTGATGGGAGGATCTCATCCCTGCTTTTTGCGAATGACGTGGTCCTCCTAGCTCCATAGAACAGTGACCTCCAACTCTCGCTGGGACGGTTCGCAGCCGAGTGTGAAGCGGCTGGGATGAGAATCAGCACCTCCAAGTCTGAGGCCATGGTCCTAGGCTGGAAAAGGGTGGATTGCCCACTCCAGGTTGGGGGGGAGGTCCTTCCTCAGGTAGAGGAGTTTAAGTATTTCGGGATCTTGTTCACGAGTGAGGGTAGGATGGAGCAGTGATGCAGGCGCTTAACCGGTCCGTTGTGGTGAAGAGGGAGCTTAGCCAGAAAGCGAAGCTCTCGATTTACTGGTCGATCTACGTTCCAACCCTCACCTATGGTCACAAGCTCTGGGTAGTGACCGAAAGAAAGAGATCGCAAGTACAAGAGGCCGAAATGAGTTTCCTCCGCAGGGTGGCTGGGCTCAGCCTTAGAGATAGGGTAAGGAGTTCGGACATCCAGGAGGGACTCGGAGTAGAGTCGCTGCTCCTCCACATCGAGAGGAGCCAGTTGAGGTGGTTCGGGCATCTGGTAAGGATGCCTTCCGGACGCCTCCCTTGGGAGGTGTTTTGGACGTGTCCAACCGGGAGGAGACCTCGGGGCCACCCCAGAACACGCTGGAGGGACTACATCACCCGGCTGGCCTGGGAACGCTTCGGGGTTCCCGCGGAAGAGCTGATGGAAGTGGCTGGGGAGAGGACTGTCTGGGCTTCTTTGCTGAGGATGCTGCCCCCGCGACCCGGACCTGGATAAGCGGAGGGCGACGAGTACGAGTACAGCTCAAACCAGGTAAGCCATTGTTAGCACTACCAGCTCAAACCAGGTTAGCCATTATTAGCAATACCAGCTCAAACCAGGTTAGCCATTGCTAGCAATACCAGCTCAAACCAGGTTAGCCATTGCAAGCAATACCAGCTCAAACCAGGTTAGCCATTATTAGCATTACCAGGTAAACCCAGGTTAGCCATTATTAGCAATACCAGGTCAAGCCAGGTTAGCCATTGCTAGCAATACCAGGTCAAACCAGGTTAGCCATTATTAGCAATACCAGGTCAAGCCAGGTTAGCCATTGCTAGCAATACCAGCTCAAACCAGGTTAGCCATTATTAGCAATACCAGGTCAACCCAGGTTAGCCATTATTAGCAATACCAGGTCAAGCCAGGTTAGCCATTGCTAGCAATACCAGCTCAAACCAGGTTAGCCATTATTAGCAATACCAGGTCAAGCCAGGTTAGCCATTGCTAGCAATACTAGCTCAAACCAGTTTAGCCATTATTAGCAATACCAGGTCAACCCAGGTAAGCCATTATTAGCAATACCAGCTCAAACCAGATTAGCCATTGTTAGCAATACCAGGTCAAACCAGGTTAGCCATTATTAGCAATACCAGGTCAACCCAGGTTAGCCATTATTAGCATTACCAGCTCAAACCAGGTTAGCCATTATTAGCAATACCAGCTCAAACCAGGTTAGCCATTATTAGCAATACCAGGTCAACCCAGGTTAGCCATTGTTAGCAATACCAGCTCAAACCAGGTTAGCCATTATTAGCAATACCAGGTCAACCCAGGTTAGCCATTATTAGCAATACCAGCTCAAACCAGGTTAGCCATTGCTAGCAATACCAGCTCAAACCAGGTTAGCCATTATTAGCAATACCAGGTCAACCCAGGTTAGCCATTATTAGCAATACCAGCTCAAACCAGGTTAGCCATTGTTAGCAATACCAGGTCAACCCAGGTTAGCCATTATTAGCAATACCAGGTCAACCCAGGTTAGCCATTGCTAGCAATACCAGGTCAACCCAGGTAAGCCATTATTAGCAATACCAGCTCAACCCAGGTTAGCCATTAATAGCATTACCAGTCGATAACAATGCATTACACTTTAGTATGTGCATACCAACATTGTAGCAACATGTCTCCAGATAGAAGTTGAACAGTGTTGTGCATACGACTGTTTTAATGAGACACAAATAAGACAGAAGTCTAAATAATCAGTATATTACTGAGGCTTTCACTGCTGTTGATGTGCAGGTTTTTAGGTCGGGGTTGGTGAGGTTCCTCCGATTTTCTGAGTGTTAAATCTGACTACAGGGACGTTCCAGTTAAAATGTATTTTGTATTCAAAGTAACAGCTACACTTGTTTGACTGTGAAACCTGGACATATCTGCATGGATAAATACAACAAAACATATCTTTATGTAATCTGAATGCTTTAAGAAGAGAAAATGATAATAAATAACAAAAAAGCAACAGTAACCCTCTACACACATCTGTGAAGACATGACAACAGTAACGGCACTGGAAGCGACTAGTGAGTTGAGCTTTTTTCCTGTGGTGAATGAGAGAGAATGTGCCCGCTCATCTGAATGACAGCGCCTGAATGGTCAAACCTCACCGCTGTGGGTCACCAAGTTTACACTCAACTTGCTGTATGTTTTTCCACAGCGAGTGAGTTCAGCGAGTGTGGGAAGAGAGGGAGGGAGGGTTTAGTGTTTTTTTTTTTTTTTGAGAACGACTCATAATATAGTGAAAGGCGTAATTCTGCACAATGAACCTTCAAATTACTGAAGTAAAAGACCTTCATACTTCAGCCACCACTTCTATTTGTGCACTTTTACAACAAGTATTATGTTATATAGTTGTCCCAATTCAGCGGCTGCAGCCTTCGGAGGCTGCAGTTGAAGACCGGTTACATCACATCAGCGAGACCAAGGCTGCCCCATTTCGAAGGCTCCTTCAAATGCAGCTGAGAAATTCAGCCTTCTTTTTCAGAATTTGAAGGACGCAACGGATGAATCCTTCATGGCCCAGCCTATCCCAAGATGCATTGTCAATTATATATTAAGTTAAGTTAACTAACTAGCTAACTAACGGTTAACTGTTGTTAGCATTACTATTAGCTTAAAGCACACAGCTTAAACAATCTTAATTTAATAGGTTTACCTGAAAACGGTCCATCAGCGTGAAGTATATCAAACAGCAGTGACTCTGGCGGTGAATCATCTCCTCAAGTATTGAATAAAAAAATATAGTAAGAATCTCTGGGTCCATGATTTAGGGCTAACTAGCTTACTCCAAGAAAACACCCAGAGTGTCTGATACCTCTAGATGCCCTAATAGTAACAATAATAATAACGATTATAAAAAAAAACAGATAAATAAAATAAAGTAATAAAAAAAAAATCAAACGGTAATCTAAAGGCAAAACAAACATTTTAAATCAACAGAGATACAAAGATTAAAGTTTTATTGAGTATCTACATGAACACATATATTACCTCCTGGTTGCTGATTGATTGATTCACAGGTAAGTCTTGACTTTCATGAAGACTTCACTAGAAATGCAGGTTAGTTTTCAGAAGTGGGCAGAATAAAGAGGGACACAATGAAGTAAAAAATAAAACACATATGGACTGTTTATATATCCTTAATATAAATGATAAAGTGTTTGGATCTTTACAACAACCAGCCCTTTTCTAACTGTAAATAAAATTACATAGATAAAATGTATCTGAAGAACATGCAGAAGAGGTGGAAGTACTTTTTCAGCCTTGAGTAGAGTCGCAGGTATGTTTCCTCTCAGGCTGCATGCAACCCTAAAAACCCTCAAACAACAGGTTAGGACAGCTTGTATGGGACCAACCTGTTCTTATCCCAGGTCGTCAAATACTGATAAATTTTCACACCCTTGAGCTTGCCTGAGAAGGACTAAATGCACAAACGCGTACTGAACTGAACTGAACCGTACCATACCGTTCTGTGCACGATAAATGACAGACTTCCATCTGTGTCACCGGTAATAAGGAAATACAGTGAGTGCTGGACAGAGCAGTGAGTGACAACAGCCCCGCCCACATTTAAGAGTACTGTTTGCAGGGGAAACACTAGGGTCTAGGTACCATGTCTGAAGGGTTACTTATGGTTCCAAAGGTACAATACTGAAAGTGTTTGGTGGAGATGGGGCTTCGGAGTCTCCTCTTGGACAGTAAGTGTAGACAATGCTTCCAAAAATTTTAATTAGATTACTAACGAGTTGACGTTTCAAGCTTCACGCTCCTCATCAGATGGCCAGGCGGGCCCCTGGGCCTGCGCCCACTGGGCCTATTCAGTAATCCATCCATATATGGGGTACATGAATGTAGTGTTTCGTTACCTGAAGGAAACGTCAGTGATTAATTAAGAAAGCAGTTTGGTGACATAAAAAAGTAATTTCTAGGAGACAGGGTTGCACAAAGATGCTAAAAGTAGCCTTCGACATCGACATCACACGCCAAGGGGTGTGAAGAAATGGTGGTATTTGACTTCCTGAGACTGAGAATGGGCCAATGGGACATGAGAGGAAATTATGCCCCACCTTTTTACCAAATGATGAAAAGAAAGTCTTGACAACAGCAGATGAAACTAAATGAAAGTGGGAGGAGCTCTCACTTTCATTTAGTTTCATCTGCTGTTGTCAAGAGTTCCTCCCACTGTCTGTGAGTTTATTAGTAGTGCAAACTGATCAGCTGTGGATTAACAGCCATTAGCGTAGTCTCCGGGTTCAGTCATCTGTCTTTTTGGAGCCTCCACACCACCCAGGCCTCCTCAGCGACCGGATCACACTCCTCTTGCGGCTGTGTCCGCTCCCATGCGAGGGTGATTTAGGACGTCTGGTGCCTTCCTCTCCATACACCTCACTCTCTTCTTTTGCATTGGCTCCCTCTGCTTTGCTTATTCTACGAACAGCCTCGACTGTTTCCTCCTTTTTTCCTGCTCCTTCCTCCTCCACCTCCTTCTGCCCTTTGTCCACCTCTGATGTCTCCTCCTTTTCACCCTCCACCATACAGGTTGAGGTAATGACCATCACAGGCGGATGAAGTTCTGGGGTCATGGCCTTCACCACATTCGATATGAGAGGAGGTTTCGGTGCTCTCTTCTTCTTCGAGCTATGTCTCAGAGGTCGGGGGCTATTTTGGAGCTCCAGATGTTTCTGTATGGCCATAGTTAGCGCCTCCGGGTCCACGGATGCGCCATGAATGTCCCATGTCATGCCGTCCTCGTCCCACTGCACCTGCTTCATGCTGCTCCTCCTCTCCATCTGGCCTTTGTCCTCCCCCTGGCTCTTCAGACACGACCTCTTCCTCTCCAGATCACGCAAGGCGGCAGAATTAATGTCCCACTCCGGGTTGTCCCCTTGCCTCTCCTCCTCCTCCTCCTCGCTGCTGCTGGCTGGGAACATACTGGAGGACGGGGAAACCAGATTGGAGTGGGACCCCACTGAGAAATTCAGGTTCAGTCTCGATCCAGGAGGCGAGCCCAATAGGGAGTGGGAGCCCATGTTGGAGTTGGACATGTTCTTCTTGAGGCCCCAGAAGGAGCTGATGGGAGTGATCGTCTGCACCGCTGCGTCCACCAGATCCAGCTGTGAAGTCATCGTGCCTTCCTCCCTGAACACCTGAGCCTTTGTGATGCCCTCTCTGGCGTTCAACTTGCACTTGCAGCCGTCACCCAATAATGAGTCACTGAAAGAAGAAACCAGGGGTGACCTCCTGTCTCGGCCTGTTGGAAGGCTTCGCCCCGGTAGCTGAAGATGACAAACTGAGCCTCCTCTTTCTGATTCCTGTGAATGTGCTGGGGAATTAGGCGACAGGTAGTTTAACATCTGCACAGGGCTTCTCATTCCTCCGCTGTCTGATAACTGTGTGCCTCCAGGACTGTGCAGGTCTTCTATCACGTCATCAACAAGGCAGCCAGGGTCTAATGGTGCACCTCCTCCTGCTAAGCTAACAGACGATGGGATCGGGGAGGGGAAGGTAAAAGAAAGCGAGTTATTCTCCAGGAAGCCCTCATCCTCTGCGCTGGTGAGCCGGAGGAGATCGGGGGAGTTGTACGGCAAGGGTGAGGAGGTGTGAGCCGGCAGAGGTGAGGGCAGTGGAGAGGGTGCAGGTGAGGACACAAGTAAGTCCTCCTGCTGATGTGTGCTCAGGGTCAGCGTTGAAGAAGAAGTTAAAAGGTCTTCAGGGGGTAAAGGTGGTGTCGTCAGGGGGGAGATGAAGGAAGAGGATGTGGCTTGAGGAGAGGTTGGTTTGGACATGGAAGAACAAGGGGTGTCCTGGGTTAGACTTGAGGGGCACGAGGTCCCGCTTTTCCATACAACTGTGTCTGGAGTGCTGCTGCGGCTGTGTGTGCTGCTGCTACACGCACTCCAGCGATGCATGTTGGTGATCCAGCGCTCGCTGAGGGCAGGAGGGCTGTGCATGTCCACGTTTTGGGCTTCAACTGACATCTGGTGGGTGTTGTTGGTGTTGAGGCACTGCCACATGCGAGGGTGCAGCTGCTGCATCATCACTGAGTTCTGCTCAGAGTGTGTGTTGGTACTGGAGCTGCGTCTCAGGTCCATGCAGGTCCAGGCGGGGTCCCGCTTGTGCGGCGGCCCCGTCGCCATGACCACATCCATGGAGCTCTTAGAGATGGAGAAAATGGGTGCTTGGTCATCCGCATCCTCTGCTCTCGCAACCAGAACTTCACTGGAGTAAGAGGCAGATTGAGTGACTGAATAGCAGACTGGCTGGTAGCTCTCAGACGCAGGACGCCCTGGCCTCGCCATGACAACAGCACCAATCTGCAAAGTAAGACACATCTTTGAGTGTTTCATTTCTTTTTATTCTTAAAGGATTACTTCACCCTCTAAACCAGTGGTTCCCAACTGGTCTTGTTGTCACTGTAAAGTTGCCAGGCGAGCAACAGAGACTCCAGAACTTCCATATAACAACCTGTAGTTTTTACTCTTTGGGTTTTGAACGAATTAAACAAACAAAATGTAAGATGTTAATTTGTGAACTTTAGAGGTGCTGGTGGGTGGTATTTTGTTAGCTTCGGACAGACCCAGGATAGGGTTTTTTCCCCAGTTTCCAGTCTTTATGCTAAGCTAGGCTAACTGGCTACTGACTGTAGGTTCATATTTACCATACAGACATGACGAAATTGACCCTTCGCTATATCCTGCCCCTGGACACAGACTGGCCAATCATAACGTAGCATCAGGCCGGCTCAGACCAGGGTCCGACAACAACACAGCTGTGCTCCATTGACTCTAATGCAGTCGTTTCAGATTTCCTTCATTTTCAGGCTGATTTTGTGGATTTGGAGCTAAATGTTGTGCCTGGGGCACGTCATGTATTAATGATACTCGTTACCTGGAGAGGTTGGAAAAAGATATAAGTTTCTTCCCTGTTCCAAAACCAAAATCAAACCCTGAAAAGTGTAGGGTTAGCTAGCTAGCTACTGAAGATATAGCCTACTGAATGTATACACATGCTGCTTTTGCTTTTTAATGATTGTAACAGTGAAACAAAGACCGACCCTGCTGTACAGGAACCAGTGAAGGGAAGCAGAGAATTTTGATCTGTCATCTGTAGCCTATAGTTCGGCTTTAGCTTCTAACTATCTTTGTCTTTTTAACCTGTTGTTGCTGCTGAGTCAGTTTGACATCCTGGATATATCCTTCAAACACAGACTGTAGACCCCTCTGTCTGCTTCTCTCTGGAATCACTCTTTCATTTTTACCAAAAATACGATAATATTTCTTCAGGGAGTGCAGTTAGTGACAGTGTGGGCTCCATGTTTACTCTGACAGCTTGTCGAACCATCACAAAGGGGCGGGGCTTAGCGAAAGGTCAATTGATTTTCCTATCGAACTCTCAAGAAAGAAAATGAGCGTATTTGCCAAAATGTTGCGACCATTCCTTTAATCTTATCTTTGTTTCTGGCTTTGAAGCACACCCTCAACCCAGTCAGCACACACGCCCACACATTCACAGGCACTCCCAGATTAGCCTAATGGGATTACACAATCCAGATTATTTCATTATTGAGACAAATGTCGATTGATCAAGACAGTTAAAGAGAGCGTTTGGCTGTAAGCTGACAAAAGACAAAGACGTAAAAAAGACAAAGAAAGATAGAGACAATGACAGTGAACAGTAGAGATTATAGAAGATCACACTCTTATCCTCCAACAAAGTCAGTGTGCATGTTGTGTCTAATTTTATTCTTCATCCTTTTAACAATTAGATTGTACCAGTTCTATTATAAAAACATTATGAATCCATATTTATATCAAAACTACCTGTCAAATTGTCGACTCCACCTCTGTCCCAAACTGACCAGCAGGTTTTTGACCACGATATTACTTTATGATGTGTTTATATGGGAAGAATAACCAGCCAATCAACCCACAGATATGACTGTCTGTGCACAAAAATACAGAACAAAGTCAGATAAATTAGAAACATAACGTCTTACCTTTAACTTCACACCTGTCCTGTTCGCCCTGCCACAGAGCAGGTAGTGCTAAATGGCGTCACTCCTTCCTCCCCTCATTCCTTCTGCTCTTCCTCCCTCGCCTCCTGAGAAAATCTTTCCAGCTGACCTCACGGCCTCAGACACACACTGCTGTGACTTCCCCTCAGCTCGATTTTCTCCTCTGTCTCTTTACTCATAACTGGAGCTCATGTGGAGCTGGCACCTGTGTGAAAATGAGGGTTTCTCTTTGTGAATATGTTGTGTCATCATGTGCACATATGCGTGTGTAAAGGAAAGAGGGCCATTACTCCACCTTTAGCTCTGAGGATTAACTGTCATCTCATTAGCTGCCGTCCAATCTGTGTACAGTCTGAGTGTGTGTGTGTGCGTGCGTGCGTCGGTCAGTGGCTAATGAGCATTTTGATTCTGAGTTGAGATCAGATCAGTGATCAGAGCAGCCATATTACATGTCTATCAATATTAACATGTGTACTGTATGAAAATATCTTGGAAAGCTTGGGAGACAGTTCACTTAACCTCATGGTGGCGCTAGAAGAAAAATCAGAGGTTCACCAAAGTTAAATGGATTCATCGTATGAACCGGATTTCATCACAATTCTTTAAACAGTTAGTCAGATATTTCAGTGTGGACCAAAGTGGTGCGACGACAGAAGGACGCTGCAGCCAGGTTAGCTAAAAATAAAATTAAGTGAAGAGACTGAAGAGGGATCAATGGTTGTGCAACTTTTAGCTCCTTTAAGGCAACATTAAAAGTATTAATACAACCGCAAACCACTATTTGCTATGTAAAGATGTGACTGGAAACAGCCCCCACATTGCTTTCACCAAACCCACCAGACTCCATTTAAATAAACAGTAATTTTAGCATGTATAGAACCAGCATGTTTTGACATCTTACTGGATAAGTAAGGGTTATTTTCAACCAAACCAGAGCTGGTGATTATTGGAGGAGTCGAAAGATGAACCAAGATGGCTTTTGTGAGTTTTATTCTGTTTTTGTGGACTTTGAATGAAGTGTGTTTTAGGATGATAAAATTACTGTTTATTTAAATGGAATCTGGTGGGTTTGGTGATGGCGAATATTTAGGCTGTATCTGAAAAATCAAAAAAGATCTCGCCCTTTAACAAAAGGTCTATCTCTGTAGATCGTTTTTGTTTAACCAGAAACAGCCCCAAAATCGCTATCAGCAAACCCACCAGACTCCATTCAAATAAACAGTAATTTTAGCATGTATAGAGCCAGTATGTTTTCAGATCTAACTGAAGGGTTAATTTTAATCAAACCAGAGCTGCCGATTGTTGTAACCAGCGGAAAGACAAACCAAAACTGTTTTGTGAGTTTTATTTTGTTTCTGTGAACTTTAAATGAAGTGTGTGTTTTACGATAAAATTACTGTTTGATTTAAATCCTACTGTTAACTTATAAAGCTCTAAATGGTCAAGCTCCGTCATATCTTAGAGAGCTCATAGTGCCATATTATCCCACCAGAACACTGCGCTCTGAGAACGCAGGGTTACTCGTGGTCCCTAAAGTCTCCAAAAGTAGATCAGGAGCCAGAGCCTTCAGCTATCAGGCTCCTCTCCTGTGGAATCATCTTCCTGTTACGGTCCGGGAGGCAGACACCGTCTCCACATTTAAGACTAGACTTAAGACTTTCCTCTTTGATAAAGCTTATAGTTAGGGCTGGCTCAGGCTTGCCCTGTACCAGCCCCTAGTTAGGCTGACTTAGGCCTAGTCTGCCGGAGGACCCCCTATAATACACCGGGCTCCCTCTCTCTCCCTCTCTCTCTCTCTCTCTCTCTCTCTCTCTCTCTCTCTCTCTCTCTCTCTCTCTCTCACTCTCATCCTATTACTGCATCTTGCTAACTCGGCCATTCTGGATGTCACTAACTCGGCTTCTTCTCCGGAGCCTTTGTGCTCCACTGTCTCTCAGAATAACTCATACCGCAGCGGTGCCTGGACAGTGTGACGTGTGTGGTTGTGCTGCTGCCGTGGTCCTGCCAGATGCCTCCTGCTGCTGCTGCCATCATTAGTCATTAGTCATACTTCTACTGTTATTATACACATATGACTATTGTCACACAAGTATACTGTCAGATATTAATACATACTTTCAACATATTGTACCACAGTAGCCAGAACTATAACTATAATATTATTACTTTCATTAATGTTGTTGTAAGCTACTGTCATTACCTGCATCTCTCTCTCTCTCTCTCTCTCTCTCTCTCTCTCTGTCTCATTGTGTCACATGGATTACTGTTAATTTATTATGCTGATCTGTTCTGTACAACATCTATTGCACGTCTGTCCGTCCTGGAAGAGGGATCCCTCCTCAGGGAGGGAGTTTTTCCTTATCAAATTGTGATTTGTGATATTGGGCTTTATAAATAAAATTGATTGATTGATTGATTTATTGATTGATTAAATGGAGTCTGGTGGGTTTGGCGACGGCGATTTTCTAGGCTGTTTCTTGTTAAATAAAACCGATCTCACTCTTTAACACAAAGGTCTATCTCCATAAAACCTTTCCATGATGCTGTCAATAAAAATTTTGAGCCTGTCAGTGGCAAAAACAAACACTTTTGGCGGATGTACATTGACGGTGCACAGTTGCCCCAAGTGGTTACACTGCAGCCTGTTTTGCTGCTGCCAGCTGCAGCGGTTTCACTCAATACTGGACGAATTTCAAAAACTGTCATTGCCTTTAGTCAGTCGGACACAAAATCATGAGAAAATGGGGTCCAGGTTGAAAATACTTAAGCTACCCTTTAAGTATGGGTGTAAAACTGGTGGAATGACCCTTTAAGGGAATGAATGAAAGCCAACAGCTGCCTAGAAGATCAAAATACAGTCAAGAATCTAAAATTCAACAGCATATTTTGCAAATGGTGAGCTGTAATGTGAACCATTTGTAATAATGTATAAAAACATCCTAAATGAGTGGTATGGTCCTTTAAAGAGAAACGAGTGTAGCAGAGATAACAGCATGAAGTGGTGAGAATCATCCAGCTGTGTCGCACTCTATCTGCTCACATACAGCGCACACTTCACCGCTGAAAAGCTCCACTACAAGAAACTCTCACATTAATGACTAATGCTAATAAGTAGCTTCAGATAGTCAGACTGAGAAATAATCATGGCAGGTAAGCTGTAAACTGCGTCAGACTCGTACATCACACATTATGTTTGGCTTGTGTACTTAATTAATGTTTGGTTTGTTCAGACCAGGAGTTACTGTTGTCTGTGGGTCTGCTGTTGCTGCTGCTGCTGCTGGGTCTGATGGCGTGCTGTCTGTGGAAGAGGAAGAAGTCGAAGAAGGGTCGGAGTCAGTACGAGGAGCTGCTCTCCACAGTGCCTTCAGTACCAGCATGCTCTGCTCCGGTGATCCTGGTGTCACAGGGCTCCTGGGCCACGTCAGTACCATGACAGAAACACACACTTAGTCCAATATAGGGCTTTTGTCTCACTCTTTTTCTTGATATCCATATTTTTACAACATTTATTTGTATTTTTTTTTTAGATAGATGATGATAGAGAGCTCACAGGAGAGAGACGGCATTTGAAATGCAACAAAGCTCTCAAAACAGGGACGTCATGAATACATGGTTTGCATCTTGAAAGGATTGTTCGGATTTTTTGGAATAGGGTTGTGTGGGGTATTTATCCATAGAAAGTGTATTACATACTGTAGATGTCAGCCAGCATGCCCCCGGTGTGGAGAAGCAGACACCTGAAAGTCAGACAATGATTTCCAGCTGGAAAATGAAGCCGTTATAGCGCTCTCTTCAAAGCCAGACTCCATTGAGAAAAACAGTGATTTAACATTGCTGAACGCAGGAGCTGCTGGTCTACTGCTGCCTCAATCAGTTAGTCTGGTTATGTTACTATGTGACTTTGGCATTTGAAAGGGTTAGTTTGGATTCACCAAAGTCACACAGTAACACAAACTAACTAACTGATCGAGGCAGCGGTAGACCAACAGCTCCTGCGTTCAGCAATGTTAAATCACTGTTTTTCTCAATGGAGTCTGGCTTTGAAGAGAGCAATGTAACGGCTTCATTTTCCAGCTGGTAGTCGTTGTCTGATGGTGAGGTAAAACCCTGAAAATAGAGCATACAGTTAAACTGACACTGATTTTATGAAATGGGACTACTTTTAGGTGGCTGAAATGTTCAGCGAGCTAAAATGACAGTTTTTCTCAATGGAGTCTGGTGGCTTTTACGAGAGCGTAGATGGGGAACTAAAGCCGTTAGTCGCTTTCCTGCTGGAACAGGCTGTCGGACTTGGACTTGGCTTGGACTTTTTAGGTGGCTAAAATGCGTTTTTTCGCTGACCCCCAACCACACCAGTACATTGCTCAGCCTCTGAGTTGGACTCCAGTCTGCTTCTCTAAACTGGGGGTGTGCCGACTGACATCTACTGTATATAATACACTCAGTACGTTTACATGGCACTTGAAAAAAATGAATTATTGCCTTAATCCGACTATAACTGGACAACTGAAGCGCATGTAAACGCGTTACTCCGACTAATATCGGAGTTCTCTAACTCCGATTAAGACACCCAGATAATGTGATTGGAATTCGATTTTCTCCGGCATGTATACGCCGTAATCGGAGTTAAACTAGACAATGCATGTGAGCATGCTCCACACCCCCTGCGCTGGCGTATGACCCCGGAACAGACAAGACATGCTATTGTTGTAGCCCTCCAACAGCATACGGCGTTCTTGTCTGCCTCTTGAAATCACCACGAGGGATAGCCTGCACCTTATCTGCACAATCAGTAATGCGTACATTACGTACGAGATGAACAAAGCTGTACGATTATCCATCTTGCTGTTGTTCGAAAATGCCGGTCTGCTGCCTGACTCCAGTTGTTTATTATTAAGTGACGTAATAGGTCAACCGGAAAGGGGGCCTTTTTAACCCGCTGAAACGACGCATATCGCCACCTAGTGTTGAGGAGGAGGACACGTTCCCATCAGTAATTCGATTTTCTCAGTTGCTTGTAAACTGGGACAAGGACAGAAGTCCGATTAGATGCCGAAATCGAATTTTGAGTATAGCTCGATTAAGCTGTTCATGTAAACATACTGAATGACTATAGATAAGTACCCCATACAACCACACTTCAAAATATCCAAACTATCTCTTTATACCCCTAAAACACCATGACGTCTTTCAAGAGTTTGATTTGTAGACTGCCAATATCCTGACTGCTTCAAAATACATAAAAACTACTAATGATTTGATAATGATAATGATAATGATGATCAGTCCTGGCTGAAAGAAGCAAAGCACGCTTTACTTATATAGAACATTTTAGACTTTACAGGAAGATAAAGATGCTAAACCAGCCGCGGCAGCAGTTTTCAAACACAAACAGGACTGAAGCAACAATTAAACAATCATTTGCAGTTTGTTGATAACATGACTGAACCTCTCAAATTAATAACATTTTTCTGTGTGTGAGACAGGCCCAGTGAGATCCCTTTCACTTTGCCTCCTCGCTTCACAACACAAAACCACGAGGACCTGAAAAATGAAGAGGAAGAGGAGGAGGAGATGAAGATGGAAGCACGGCGGGACATACTGGCCCATCGTGGGTCACTCTCAGTAAGGAGTAGGTCACTACTGCCTTTATTTGACAGCATGTAGAGATGTTTATGATTTAGTCCCTTTGAGTTTTTGAAATTAAAGGCATTTGAAAGGATTCTACTGGTACCAACTAATGTGATCTATACTCCTCAAAGTAAGCGCTCTTTAAGGGTTCTTCCTGAGGGGCTGAAGTTGTAATCAGGAACCACTTACCTCCAAAGTACCCTTTTTGAAGAAAGGGTCCTTCAAGGGTTCTTTGTAAGACAAAAGCCCCGTCTCCACAAAACACTTTCAGTATGGTACCTTTGGAACCAACAGTAACCCTTCGTCCACAGAACAACTCAGCCCTGAGCAGAGTGACTGTCCTCTATTGACCAATCAACAGACTGCAGTGTTCACAGCTCCACCTTTTAGTACCAGATCTGTGTGCTAGGTACCCCAACAGAGGGGGGACCAAAAATGGGGACGGTATGTAACGGTTCCAATGGTACCATCCACAACTTTTCACAGTGGAAATGGAAAAAAAAAGCGTACCGAACTGAACTGTACCATATCGTTCTGTGGACGATAAACGAGGTGCAGACTTCCATCTGTGTCACTGTAATGAGGAAATACAGTGAGTGCTGGACGGAGCAGTGAGTGACAACAATTTAAGAGTACTGTTTGCAGTGGAAACACTAGGGTCTAGGTACCATGTCTGAAGGGTTACTGTTGGTTCCAAAGGTACCATACTGAACGTGTTTGGTGGAAACGAGGCTTAATGTGGAGGAAAAGGTGTGTGAAGGGTTCCAGGTGAAACCTTTTTAAAAGGTTCTACCTGGAACCAAGAAGGTTTCTCCTGTGGGGACAAGCTGAAGAACACTTTATGTTCTAGTTAGTACCCGGAAAGAACACTTCCTATCTTGTTGTACTGTCTCCATCAGGATGGTACCCGGTGGGGACGGTGCTGGCTGGTCTCTACTCCGTTCCTCCTCTGAACGAGGTGGTGGCACCTCCTCCTGGCATGGCCACCCGCCTCTGCTTCTCTGTGGAGTACCGACACAGTGGCGAGCAGCTCATGGTGTCCTTGCTCCGCCTCGGCAACCTCCCTCCCCGTTTCCATGGCAACGTCACCCTGGTGGAGCTCCGGCTTCTCCCTGATGACCGGAGGCCCCGTCAGGCTAAGGCCAGAGGCACGGGGCCCGACCCGGAGTTCAATGACTGCTTCGTTTTCCAGGCGAGGACACGAACGTTAACACACACAGAAGCTGGACAACATGATGCAGCTTTAGAGACAAAAAAAAACAAAACTTTGTGTCTGCTCTCACACACTTCCTGTGTTTCCCCCCCCACAGGTGTCAGGTGTGTGTGTGCCTCAGAGCACCCTGAGAGTGTGTGTGTTGAGTGTGGAGCAAGACGGCAAACGGCACGCAGTGGGCAGGGTGCTGTTTCCTCTAGAGGGGGAGCTCGGTCAGGCTGGCAGGGTGCTCTGGAGGGACCTGGAGACGGAGGACGACACACAGGTACCAGTGGTGGAATTTGACTAAACACATTAACTCAAGTAAGTAAAGTAGAAGTACCTAGAGCTATGCCGGCCTGCGGCACAGGCAGTATAGAGGAACGCTAAGGGCACTGTCATCCATAGGGGGCGCCCTAAGTGTGTTTAATGTAATCTTGTAAAATGAGATGATAATAAAGTCCCAATGTCCTCAAACAAAATGACAATAAAGTCCCAATGTCTTCAAACAAAATGATGATAAAGTCCCAATGTTCTCAAATGAGACGATAATAAAGTCTCAATGTCCTCAAACGAGACAACAATAAAGTCCCAATGTCCTCAAACGAGATGATAATAAAGTCCCAGTGTCCTCAAACGAGACAACAATAAAGTCCCAATGTCCTCAAACGAGATGATAATAAAGTCCCAATGTCCTCAAACAAGAAATTTGTACCCTATGATGCACCTATTCTTCTATTCTCAGCAGCATCAAATTAACACAACGTTAAGGATCTACAGCAGTAAAATGCAAGTAATGCCGTAAAGACCTCTGCCCCAGGACCTCAAAGTACGTCCTGGTGTTTACGGCGCTAAGAGGTCAGAGATATAGCTGGGACAGAGACCATGAAGAGCCTTAAAAGTAGTCAGTAAAGTCTTAAAATCTATTCTAAATTATTTTATCATTCGTACTTATACTGAAACACACAGGACGTCTGCATGTGCACAAAGTTGGTCATGAAAGCTCATCATCATTGTGATGTGTGTCAGTGTTCAGAGCTGGGTGACGTGCAGATCTCTCTCAGCTACAGTCCGTCTCTGCAGCGCCTCTCTGTGGTGGTTCTGAGGGCTCGAGGCCTGCAGCTGCTCACAGACGCAGGTAAGAGGTGTGTCAGGTAAAAAGCTTGTGGCTGTGTGTCTGTGTCAGCCCTGTTCAGCTGACATCTTCACACGAGTGACTCTGCAAGTCGTGGTCATACAGCGTCTGTGTGTTTCCTAGGTGTGTGTGTCCAGGTGAGCTTACAGATACACACTCAGGTGGTGAAGCTTAAACGCAGCTGTGTGGTGAAAAGTGAACACAGCCCGTATTTCGACCACAGGATGACCTTTAAACTGCGCTCGCAGCACCTGGACGAGGCCTGTCTGAGATTTGAGCTGCAGCAGCCAAACGACGTCCGCTCAGGTGAGAGGCTCAGCTTCATACGCACGCTGTCTCCATCAGATCAGCTGTGTATTCACCTTTGCTCTGCTCTGTCTTTATTGTTCTCGCAGAACCTCCAGCCCTGCTGGGAGTGCTGGTGTTGGGCCCCTTCATGTACGCGAGGGGCCTGCAGCTGCAGCACTGGATGGACATGGTCAACACACCACAGGAGCCGGTGGAGCTGTGGCACGGACTGGGCAGGCCCACTTAACACACAATATTACACATATGATGTACATACACAGAGCTTTACACAATAAACTCATCCAGGTTCAATAGAGGAACTGAATCAGGAATTTGGGGATTTTACAAACAGCAGTATTTTTATACTGTAGCATTACTTCTTTTACTTGAGTAAACCACTTTTATCTACATTTAAACATCTCTCTCCATGTCTCTCTTTATGTCTCATTTTGTAATATGGATAACTGTAATTTTATTACATTGATCTGTTCTGTACACTCGACATCTATCGCATGTCCTGGGAGAGAGATCCCTCCTCAGTTGCTCTTCCTGAGATTTCTCCCATTTTTCCCCTTAAACAGGTTAATCAATCTAACTCCAAAATGGGCCCAACCTAGGAGAAATTACAGTAGTAGTTCTTCATAGTTTTGATTGGTTCTAATACCCTCCTGCATCATATATTAAAAGTGTATCTTCATATATTCAAGGTGAAAAGCAGATGATGGGTGTATCAGCATCTAAACTGGGTATAAATTATTCTGTATATATTTAGTATCTATAACATCATCATTTAGCAACTTTTCTAACTCTGTTCTATTCTGTTCTATTAACGTATTCTATCAGCATCTTTACTCTTATTGTCTTATTTTTTTCATTTACTTAAAACAATTTATTCATTTTCATTTCATTATCCTGTTGGGGGTCACGGGGGGCTGGAGCCTATCCCAGCTGACACTGGGCAAGAGGCAGGGTTCACCCTGGACAGGTCACCAGACTATCACAGGGCTGACACATAGAGACAGACAACCATTCACACTCACATTCACACCTACGGACAATTTAGAGTCACCAATTAACCTGCATGTCTTTGGACTGTGGGAGGAAGCTGGAGTACCTGGAGAAAACCCACACTGACACGGGGAGAACATGTAAAGTTTGCAAAGTTTTTTTCAATTTATTTTCAATTTTCATTATTTAAAATTAAATTACAGAACATAATACATATTCAGTGGATAGCTTACAAATACAGCAATAACAAAAGAACCAGAGTTAAATCACATCAGACAAAAATAGTATAACACATACAGATATTAAGTGCCTTGTTCACCTTTTTGTTTGTCAAATTAGAGAGTAGTTTCACATGTTGCTCAACATTCTTGAAGAGAACAACAAAATAAGTTTATTTTTTAATTGCCAAATATTTTTTTATGATTAAAACATGTTACCAACATCATGACTGGATTTTTTTTTTAAATTGTCTTCTTTTTTGGGTTTTTGAATAAACCAAACACCACATTTACATGTTTTAATCATCTTCCAAGATGCAGTCAACCAGAGATACAAAACACAAAGACAACAAAAAAAACAATAAAGGCACAAAATAGAATAAATTATGCAGAATACACTTTGAATTAACCATAAATTAATCATTAATGAACATAATGTAAACAGAAATTAAAAGATAAATATATTTATTCATTACCGATTAATCTACAGAGGTCTTTTAATAATAATAATAATAACAATAATAATAATAATGCATTTTATTTATAGGTGCCTTTAAGAACCCTCAAGGACACCTTAAAAAACACTGAAAAACAAATAAATAATAAAAAGCAGCCATGTATCCATTGATCATAAAATCAAACAATTCAGTAATAAAAGTTAATATAATGACTAGAAAAAATCATAAAATCATAATTGTAGATATATTATTTTGCACATTTGGAGTTTATTAATTTAAGGGACTTAGTGTAAAGTTGAATTTTATTACAGTAGCCACTAAAGATGGGTGGAATTTTAATAAATTATGCTTAAAAAAAATGGCTAAATAAGTAAAATACTGATCATCGGGTCCATTTTTTATTTATTTATTTTTATTTTTTTGTAGTAGTAGTTGGAGCTTGGTATTTGAAGAACGCTGTTCTCAGCTTGGATACTGTTGATCGGTCTGTTGTCCAGCAGGCGGCGACTTCCGCCTTTACTTGAGTGAGCGCAGGCGCAGTTTGAACCCCGGAAGTGAAAGAGTTGAGCATCATGGACGTGGAGCCACCAGGTGTGAGGCTGTGTTAAAACTTCTCATTAGTCATATCGGTGGTTTAAATGTGGTTTTAACATCATGAAGATAAACGAGAACACTTTGCTGGAGGGACACAGAGTCGTGTTGGTGCCTTACAATGCAGAGCACGTGCCCAGGTAACGATAATAACCAACATCTGTTAGAAACACTGTATTTACTTATCCAGTTTGTCTCTTTTATAATATATATCTGTTTTATTCTTTCATGTTGTTCCTCTGCTCATGTCTTCTTGTTAGGAAGACGTCATTATTTTACCTCAGTGTATAAAATATGGCTGATTTGGATCTTAAATATAGCGCTAATTTGTATTTTGACAAAACTAATTTTCGATATTTCAGACTGGCCTGTGGTGGTTGAAAGTAACTAAATATATTTCTTCTAGTACTGTACTAAAGTACAAATCTGAGATACTGGTACTTACATTTTGCTTCTACATTTTGGAGCCAACTACAGTACTTTTTACTCCACTACATTTATAAGATTAGTTGCTAATAATTTTTCAGAATTAGATTATTAATACAAAATAAATCAGGTAAACAAGGCTTTGGTGTTTAACATACACATAGTAAGAGATAGATAATAAGATAAAATAAAAAGTATTGCAAAATCAAAAGACATAAATAAAGGATAGAAAAAAGGTATTAATAAATAAAAATATGTCTTAAAAAAACCCTATGAAAATAGGTGAACGAATGAATGAACTTTTGGTACTTAATTTTAAACCTGTGTACTTTTACGAAATTAAGATTTTGAATGCAGGATTTTTATGTGTAACTGAGTATTTTTACACATTGGTGTCACTACTTTTACCTAAGTAAAAGACTTTTTTCACTACTGAATTCAAAAGGAATAAGAATAAAATAAAAACAAAAATATTATACAGTCTATTTAAACTGCAATAACTGTACTGTAGTACAAGTTAGACAGGTTTAGAATAATAAAAAAGTGTAAATAAAGACAGAAACTAGAAAGTAAGACACCCTGCCTCCAGGCTAACTGTCTATCTGAAGTTTGACTCTTTGTTTTTTATTTTTGTCTTTTATTTAATCAGGTAAGTTCTGTTTAGATCAATGATCTGTTTTAACTGGCCAAGACAGCATGGACAAAAAGTTATAGCCAAACACCCACACAATAAAAAACATAAAAGATGTATTTACAAGTATTTGGTCTCGTTAGGTATAAACAAGTAAAATCGCATTTTCCTCTGATTCCACACACATTAAACAGATTTGAAAAAAACTATAAAAGTTTGAAATCTGTTTTTGGATTCTAGATGTTAATCTGCAATCTGAATTTCAATATAAAACATCAAATTTGAGTTAAAAAAACCCTTTCTTTAAGAAATACAAAAAAAGAGCTGCCAGTCATCTCAACACACGATATATTTAGTAGCTGTTCTGGAGCTTTCAGTCGCATCATACAACCTTCATCAGCAGATGGAGTTTCCTAAGGCGTCATAAAGATGTTAATATGTCCATTAGTCTGAACCTTTAAAAACTTCTTGCCCACTGTGGCTTAAAAGTTGACACTAAATGGTGAAGACTGATCTCAATTTTTGTCTAAATTAAAAAGTCTAAAAATACTGAAATTATGTCGCACACAATCAAGAAGTGGACATACTTTTCATACTTTGACAGTTTGACAGTCTGCAAGGTCACATTTCAGTTGGTGTAGAGGGTCAATAATCAGCCCTACGTTTGAGGAGTGTAACCCAAGTGTGTGTTGACCTTTCACTACGTTATGAGCTCTAGACAAAAATGAATAAAGAAATAGTCCCCTTTTTACAAATGTGAAACGAGATTTTAAAAACCTTCACATTCTTAAAAGGGTGGTTCTGATTTTGTGAATTTGAGTTGTATATGGTGCTTATCTATAGTCATTGTACGATATACAATAAATGGTGGTCGACACTCCCCTAGTTTGGAGAAGCAGGCTGGAGTACTGACACAGAAGCTAAGCAGTGTACTGCTGTGGATGGGGGCAACAGCAGAATTTATTTTCGTCACCGTGATCACGTGACTATGAATAATTACTTCACACAACCCCACTTCAAAGAAACCCCAACTCTGTCTTCGATATGATATCTAGCACGCGACAGTTTCTTATGTGGTGTAACAATCACCTGAGGAATGTTTTCCTTTATGTTTCTGTCAATCAGGAACCAACTTCAGTCCTGTACCTGTCCTTTATATCCACCTGTTTCAGGTATCATGAGTGGATGAAGTCTCCTGAGCTGCAGCAGCTGACAGCCTCAGAGCCGCTGACCCTGGAACAGGAGTACGACATGCAAAAGAGCTGGAGGGAAGATGATGACAGTAAGGAGTCATCTGCCTGTGCTCACACATGATAACACTTTGAGCCCTCATTAATGCTCTAAAGAGATGTCTTTATTGCTTCAGATTCACAGTGACTGTTTATTTTATATAGCTTCTAAAATCAACATATTTTTTACACAGACCAGTCATCTGTCAAATTTTTTTTGCTTGTTGCTTTTGTAAATACCTGAAAAAAGATCACACCACCCTGAGGTCATGCACAAGTCGATTATTTAAACTTTATTACAAAGAAAAAGCTGTGTCATTAATATTTTTTTGCTCAAATATCGTCACATCCCAGCTACATCAGCTGATCAAGCAGCTGATTGATGGAAGGGAGTCAGCTGATAGATCACATGATTCCTTTCTATGCAACCAATTGCTGAATCTCATTCAGGGCGCCCTATTTAAACTGCTCTGGCCTGCCTACTGTTGCTGCTTCCTCTGCCAGCTGCTTTGCAACCTGCCTCCACCCCAGCTCCTCCTTTTCATGCTGTGTCTGACTTATGAATGTAATTTCTGTTTGTCATTGTTGCTGCTCTGTTCTGTTCCCGGGGGTCTTTGCTGCTGCTCTCCCTGCCTTATGGCTTTCCATGTAGGCGCATGGATGGGCAGGGAGGTTTGCTCTCTCTGCTTCAGGCTTTCCTCATTTGCACATGGAAGGGCAGAGAGGTTTGCTCTCTCTTCCTTAAGGGGGATTTATACTTCTGCGGTGGTGTGTCTGTGTCACTCTGCAGTTACACCTCCAAAACACCAGTCGGCGGCAGGGTGTCTGTGAAGTAAAGTTTAGTCGATTCAAAACACACATTAAACACACATTAAACATGGCTTAATAGAGACAGTTTCAAACACAAGTACACAAATCAGCTTCACTATAACTCGCAGCATTCACAGACAAACACTTGTCTTTATCTGGACACATTTTCCCCACAAATACAACATGCTAATGTTTTTAGCACAAGTGTATGGCATTTTGCATTGTATAAATTAGCCTAGCAGCTAGTGGACTTTTTCTTCTTCTCATATGAAGCCAGGGACAACAGCAACATTTAACAAAGGTAATGTTACAAAATTCGGCTCCATTACAACTCACAAGGTTCACTGACAAAACAACTGTCTCATACTAAACACGTTTTCCAAACAAATACAACATGCTAACATTATTAGCACAAGCCCATGGCATTTTACATTGTATAAATTAGCTTAGCGACAGGGGGAGATTTCCTCAACTCATATGAAGCCAGGATAAATCACACATAAGACTTAAAATGCTATTTTTGTGGAGGCTTTATTGTCTTCACAATTTATTGTTTCTTATCTGTGAAATTAAAGTAAATAAAAGCTTTGTTTCCACTGAGGGAAATGGTTTCAGCTTACAGAAATAGACAGGAGGTCTGCATCACTGTGACATGTAGTTACATTTCTGGGGAGGTGCACATCAGGCTACAGTGTAGGCTCTTTGTGGAGGCAGAGCCTATGGTGTAGGTACAGTGTCGATTCGACCCAGAAGTATACATTTTGCCTTAGGCTTTCCTTATATGCACGTGGAAGGGCAGGGAGGGTTGCTCTCCCTGCCTTTGGCTTTTCACGAAGGCATGTGGAAGAGGCTTTCTGTGTAGGCTGGAGGAATGGCAGATCAGCCCTAGAACAGAGCCATACCACCAAATATAATACTGCAAATGGAAATAAAGTTTTCTTTGACTAAAGTGGTCCTGACTGAACTGCTCTAGTAAATAACTGAAAAGAAATCACACCACCCTAAAATGTTAATATTGTATAAAATCGAAAAACACTGTTTTATTAATATTTTTTTTTAATTCTGTCTTTCCAGAGTGCACGTTCATCATCTTGGACAAGAAGCAGTGGGCGGACAGCAGTGTAGACCAAGAGCAGTGCATGGTGGGAGATGTCAACATCTTCCTGACTGACCCCACAGACCCGTCCCTGGCTGAGCTGGAGATCATGATAGCAGGTGAAGCCCAATGTGTTATTCAAAAGCAAAGACTTACCAAGCTTCTAAAATCAACCTGCGCTTTAGTTTTGATATGTTAATCATTCCCTGCATTTATCTCTCCAGTGTGACACCATATTCATGCAGTAGTTGTGTTTTTAGTTCCCTGACACTCATGAAGTTTCTTGTTTTTAACAGAACCCAGTTATAGAGGAAGAGGCATCGGGAAGGAGGTGACCTGCATGATGATGAGCTACGGTGAGCAGCTTTGACAGTCTGTCAGGAGGCTTGTTAACACGTCAGACTGACCAAATGTGTTGTTATTTACAGCAGGGAGACAGAAAGAGAGAAGATCAACGCAAATGTGTAGACTTTGAACATCTCTGATTTTGGTAGGCGTGTTGCTTGATCGCAGACGTCATGAATCGCTGCCCAGTTTTCTATTTTATTCTTTTATTTAACCTTTATTTAACTAGGAAGTCTGAGACTGAAAATCTCTTTGACAAGAGAAACCTGTCCGAGGTAGCAGATGTATTTACATTTAAGCTATCAAATACGCCCGACCCAGCATGAATAAAATGTTTATCAAACTGACTGACCACGGCAGCTGTGTCCTGGAGTTCATCTGAGCCAACTAGAATTTGGTCTGGGAGGCTTGAGGCAATATGTGTACCAGATAATGTTTCAGTTGATTTCCAGAATTTTGAGGGGTTATTTAGGTTCTCTGTAACTGACCTCAGATAAAACTCTGATTTGGACTTTCTAATCATAAAGGTTCCTTAGGGTTCTAAATGTAGTCCAGGCTGCAGAGGAGAAAATCTAGCTTGCGCCCAAGATTTATTTCTTAAATGAAGCAGTTCTGAGAATGAAGGACTGTCCCTACCACTGACCCTGCACTTCTTAATGATACTATTTTTCAGCAGTTCAAGTTGGTCTTGTGTTGTGCTCCTTATCAGCTGTTTTCCTGGTTGGAAAAGCAAAAGCAGCAAACATGCAAAAAAATTGCCATGAAAATGGTGACAACAGTGGACGAGATTGACGCAGATTCTTATCAGTAGTTTAACAGAAGTAAGAGTTAGAGGGTAACTTCTGTGTTTTTCAGTCTGGACCCTGTTTTCCCATGTTTTTGTGTCTAATGGTGAACGACTTTTTGAAACTGGTCCATTACTTAGTAAGAGTGCTGCAGCCAGCAGCCGCCAAATGGGCTGCAATGTAAAGTTATTGGTGGGCAATACCGCAAAGTCAACATAGATCACTAAAACTGCTGTGTTTGCCACTGACAGGCTCAGATTATTATTGTAAGTGTCTGATAACATTATGGAAAGGATCCCGACAGAGATAGACCTTTATGTTAAAGAGTGAGATCCTTTTTGTTTAACCAGAAACAGCCCCAAAATCGCAATCGCCAGACACACCAGACTCCATTTAAATAAACAGTAATTTTATCATAATAAAACACACTTCATTCAAAGTCGACAGAAACTAAATAAAACTCAAGAAATTCGCTGTGTTTCATCTTTCTACTGTTCCAACAACCACAAACACTGGTTTGATTGGAAAAAAGCCTTAATTAGCCCAGTAAGATGTGAAAAGATACTGGCTGTATGCACGCTAAAATTACTGTTTATTTAAATGGAGTCTGGTGGGTTTGGTGAAATTGATTTTGGGGTTGTTTCTGCTTAACAAAAAGGACCCCACTCTTTAACAAAAAGGTCTATCTCTGTAGGGATCCTTTACAAAATGTTGTCAGACACAGAATAATAACCTGAGCCTGTCAGTGGCAAAAACAAGCAAAATCATTGGATGTACACTGAAGGTGCACAAATGCCCCGAGTGGTTACAGTGCAGGCTGTTTTCACTGATGCCGGCTGCTGCAGTCTCACTTAATACTGGACCAATTTTAAAAACTTTTGTCTCCATCAAAATCATGGGAAAAATTGGGAGCAACTAGTTAATTTTTTTCAACAATCAAAAGGTGATGGAAAGATGCAGAAAAAAATGTTTTTATTGGGTTTTAAATCACATGATGGAGAGCTTCTGCTGCAGTGTCCTGCCACTACTGTGGAGTAAACAATTTGTGAGTGATAGTGTATGAATGATAGTGATGATCAGTGTTGTCTTCCACCAGGAGTCGCCAAACTTGGGGTCAAAAAGTTTGAAGTGAAAATTGGGCTGGACAACGAGGTCAGCATCGCCATGTTCAAGAAACTCCACTTCCAGGAGGTAAAACGATCACATGATCTCATTGTGTGAGATATCCATGTAACATTTTATATAAGTGAATCTAACCATCGGCCTCGTGTCTGTTGCAGGTGTCGGTGTGTAAAGTGTTCAAGGAGGTGACCCTCGAGATGCCGGTGGATGAGTCTGTCCGGATGAGGCTGCTGGACGACACGGCCGACATGAAGGAGAGAGACTACAGACAGGCCTGCAGCGACAGACAGAAACTGGTTTCACAGTGAAGTGAGCTGCACTCACACGTCCCAAAGACTCACAGCGGTGGTGGTCATTTTGCACACTGATGAGGGAAATCTGAGCTGACACCTGGTGTGTGTTTAGACTTTTCAGACTTTTACACACATCTGCAGAGATGGGAAGGACATTTACTCTGTTAAAAGTACCATTTTGTGGTACTGGTGCTTTATGTAAGTATTTTAAATGAGGGATGTATTCCACCTTTTAGTGGGGAATATTGTACCTTTTATGTTAATAGATTCATCTGATGCATGGAATTGTCATGGCATACCACATCGCAAATCAGACTATAAATCACAAGCTTGGATCTAAGTGACTGAGCGTCGGTCCGATTGTCATATAACCTGTTATCTGTAGCACAGGTGTTGGAAACTGTCAAAGGTCTTGAGTCGTCCGTGTTGAATTACCTTGGAATCTCCACTGTCACCCATGTTCCTTGATTTCTTCTTCTATGGTCCCTTTTGCTGTCTCGTTTATTCCTCTGTGATCTGAAAAAAAGGAAACTGCTTTTTCTCACAATCAGGACTTTTACTGGAATACATCAGTACAATTTACTGTTTGTACTTTTACTTGAGTAAAAAATCTGACCATAAAAATTCTACTTGTTTCTGTGTTGCAACTTTTTCTAAATGTGTCCCATCACTGCACAGATTAAACAAACAGGATATAACATGTTAATTAGTGAGCTCTAGATGTACTGGAAGGCAAATTTTTTAGATCTTAGGGGGGGGAAAAAGAAGCAAAACCGGTTGTTTCCCCATTTCCATTTTTTAAGCTAAGCTAACAGCTACTGGCTGTAGCTTCATATTTCATATTTAACATACAGATATGAGAGTGGTATCAGTCTTCTTAAATTGGCAAGAAAGTAAATTCCTGGAGGCGCCTTTGTTTCAAAACCCCCGCTCCCACCAAACACTTTCAGTATGGTGCCTTTGGAACCAACAGTAACCCTTCAGACATGGAACCTAGACCCTAGTGTTTCCACTGCAAACAGTACTCTTATATTTGGGCGGGGTTGTTGTCACTCACTGTATTTCCTCCTTTATCAGTCTGCACCTCGTTTATCGTCCACAGAACAGTATGGTAGGTTCAGTTCGGTACGCTTTTCTGTTTCCACTGTGAAAAGTTGTGGATGGTACCAATAGAACCGTTCTGTACCGTCCCCATGTTTGGTCCCCCCTCTGTTGGGGTACCTAGCACACAGATCTGGTACTAAAAGGTGGAGCTGTGAACACTGCAGTCAGATTGGTCAATAGAGGACGGTCACTCTGCTACGGAACGGTTCATTGGTACCATCCACAACTTTTCACAGTGGAAACAGGAAAAAAAAAGGGTACCGAATTGTACCAGACTGCTCAGTGGAAATGGGGCTATAATGTCAAACAATTCCTTTAAGATTGAAAAGCACACTGCGTCTTCTTCTGCCAACTCCTCTGTTACACCTACAAACAACAGCAGTCTAATGGCGTTTAATGGAGTACAGTTGGTTTAAATATCCAGACTTACTGCTTTTCTCTGAAGCATTGGCAGCAGACTCTGATGCTTAGAGAGAGAGAAATGAAAGACGAAGGACAGAAACATCCGGTGGTTTTTAATGTCTGTTTCTAGTGGAAGTGGTTAATTCAATTTCAGGTCGCATCCAGTTGAACTCTCATCAATTGAAACCATAAAAGCTCAAGATTCTGCCTGTGTAAACCATCTTAACACCCTTATATCCCAGCGACTGCAGGCACTTACTTTGTAGCAGCAATATAAACAGTAAAACCTCTCAAAATATAAAGATTAAAGGCGAGTTTGGGCTCAGTATCATTAATTTTGACTTTTGGTAGTGAACACCAACCCGTTAACCTCCAGATGAGACAATTAAATTAAAAAGCTGAAAGAACCATTTAATTTAAAATGTCTTTTTTTTGTTTACAAAAACCCAGGATGTTTGTTAAGTGCAGGATAAATCATAAAGGAAACAGAAGCATTTCCATTCTCTGGTGCACAGCCAGTAATGACTGAGGCCTAATCAGAGTGAAACGCATCTTTTGTACATTACAACCAACATATTTATCTCATGTTCCTCCTAATTGGCGCATTAGTCTGCTGCATCTCTCATAATTTTCTCCTTCACAACCGGAAGGCTGGTGGTTGAGCTTTCATTTTGAACCACACGGCTCAAACAACAACAACAGCTCTCACTTGTTTTATCCGCTCAAGCCTCAGTGTGCTATTTCCTCCTGTTCCAGTCAAGTACTTTCTTTCTTTCTTCCTTCCTTCCATCCATCCATCCATCCATCCATCCATCCATCCATCCTCATCTGCTTATCCTGGGCCGGGTCTTCGGGGCAGCAAGCCAAGCAAAGCACCCCAGACTTCCCTCTCCCCAGCAACGCTTTCCAGCTCCTCCTGGGGGACCCCAAGGTCTGAATCACCTCAACTGACCCGTTTTGACGTGAATGGCAGCAGCTCCACTCCGAGCTCCCTCCAGATGTCTGAGTTCCTTACCCTATCTCTAAAGCTGAGCCCAGACACCCCACGGAGGAAACATATTTTGGCCGCTTGTATCCCTGACCTCGTTCTTTCGGTCACTACCCAGAGCTCATGACCACAGGTGAGGGTTGGGACCTTGATGGACCAGCAAATCAAAAGCTTCCCCTTCAGGCTCAGCTCCCTCATCACTGCAGAAGTCGCACCAAACCACCAATCCATCTCAAGCCCTCACTGGTGAACAAGACCCCGAGATACTTGAACGCCCTTGCTTGAGGAAGTAACTGTCTCCCAACCCAGAGGGGGCAATCCACTGGTTTCTGGCAGAGAACCATAGCCTCAGATTTGGAGGTGCTGACTCTCATCCGGACCGCTTCAAGTACAAGTACTTTCAGTGTCTCTGAGATCAAGAGGATATTTATTTGCAGCATTCAGCATTTAGATTTGTGTTTTAAGTGTGGTGGCAGGTTGCGTCTGAGGTTGCTAAGCACCGTATAGCATGTTTACCTTTTACAGAAGAAGTGAAAGATATCTGTGGGCTGTGATTGGTTTGTAACCTGACTCCTGTCTGACTGCTGAGCGTGGCCACTTCCTGTGTCTGTCCTTTCAAATTAAATTCCCACATGGTCCAGTCATATAGGTTTTGATTTATTTTGACAAGGCACAGCTCCTAATAGAGCTTTGCATTTTTTAGTTTTTGTTTTTGTTTTTTGTTTTTTTTCCTGTCACCAACCAATAACCTTTCTGGTAAATCAATCAATCAATCAATCAAAATTTATTTATAGAGCACATTTAAAAACAACAGCAGTTGACCAAAGTACTTTACAGTCAGACTAAGACACAACAAGAAATAACACACTACAACAAAGACCACGTGTTACAGATGAATGCAGCTCTCACACCGAGTTAAAAGCCAAGGAATAAAAATGTGTTTTAAGTCATGATTTAAAAACAGGTAACGAGGAGGCCAGTCTAATATGCAGCGGTAGTGCGTTCCAGAGTTTTGGGGCTGCTACTACAAAAGCACGGTCTCCCCTGTGCTTCAGCCTTGATCGTGGGACCTCCAGAAGCAACTGGTCAACAGACCTGAGTGACCTTGAGGGGACATGTTGCTGTAAGAGGTCAGAGAGATAGGATGGAGCTAGCCTGTTTAGAGATTTGTAAGTAAATAATAACATTTTAAAATCAATTCTAAAACGAATAGGAAGGATATTTGGTCAGCTATTAAGGGACAGCCCTATTTCACAATCAGAATTTGATCTATTTGATCTGATAACATTTCTGAAGTCTAGAAGAGCACAATTAATCATTTTCACCCCCATTCAAGTTAGCTGAGGGCTAAACTGGAATGTGGTTTGCTCTGTGGGCCCCATGATGCAAAAGATCAGGATAAGAACCTCTTCCTTCACTGTCATCGTTTTTGCTTTTTATTACTTTGGACAATATGAATTAGCTCCAACAGCTATTTCCTACAAATTTGTTTATGGGTTGAATAAGTGGTTTGAATATGTCATCACTTTACCTCCCATCTGCCCGAGTGGACATATTATACATATTGGAGGAGAGTTTCATCAGGCTAATGGTGACTGTGGTCGCTGGCTCTCACAGACTCTCGTTAAAGATGCAGTTAAAGTGATGATTGGGAAATGGATGTCATCCATTGTGCAAATAGATTTATTTGGAGCTCTTACAGTCAGCTTTTAAAAGCAGCAAGTTTAAATTACTTATGTATCCGTGTCAATTTTCCCTTTGCAGAAAGCAGAAAAAATACATTCGACCAGCTTCAATTTCAAAATTAAGCCATAGCGACCGTTTTGAAGATCAAAGTTCTTGGAAACAGCAGCAGTAGAGAGAAAAGCTACGTAACTGACCTTGTCGTGACATTTTTTGTTTAGTCCTGTCCTCATTGAATTGGAAATTTTAATTATTTTCATTATTCAGTCGTTTTCTTTCACATACTGCAACTGCAGCATCTGTGGCCCCCTAAGAAAGATTTTAAGAGTCAAAAAAATCAAATTGTTGGAAAACTGCATACTAAAAAAAACAGCAGTGTGTTGCCAAGCTTGAGTTAAACTTAAAAGTGAAAGTCCATCATTAACTCGCAGTTTGAGCTGGCTCCAACTCTTGAAGATTAACTGACAGGAGAAGTTTGACATTTCTGGAAACAGAACAAAACAAAACCTTACTAGCTTTCTTGCCAAGCCAATGAGAAGATTGACGCCACTCTCACTGCACACTAAATATGAAGCTACAGCTAGCAGCCAGCTGACTTAGCTTAGCATAAAGACTGGCTGAGACCAAATGTAACATCTAACGCTCATTAATTGACACATTCATCTCTCTTGTTTAATCCGTACAGAAACCGAAGTTTAAAAATGACCTTTGGACCAAACCAGGAAGATGGACGTCAATATTTATGGGAACCGACCAAATCGAGTCTCTAAAAGCAAGAACTGAGAACTGTCAAGTACTGAAAGGTAACACTGGATATCTGATTAGATTCTTAGACTCGCTTACTTTTTTTAAATCCCATATTTCCTGATTTAAATCATATTTAGACTACTTTTAGGCTGTATTTTACACAAGTGTGATGCATTCACTTGAGGGGAAAAAAATATTCTGCTACATTTTTCTTAATTAATGAGATTATTATCTCCGGATTCTGAGAAAAGCTTTTATGGGAAAACATGTTTGCCTTATTTTTCTGAAATGAGATTATTTCAGAATTCTGAGAAAAGTTTTCATGAGAATAGAATTTTAACATTTTTCATGGGAAAAAAACACTTGCAGTTTTTTTTCCCGATTGAACAAGATTAGTATCACAGAATTCTGGGAAAAGTTTTTGTTAAAAAATGGCCATTTCTCTAAATGAGCAAGATTATTACCTCAGAAATTTCTTCTTCCAAAAAAGCTTTTTCCAAATGAACAAATTATTATTTCAGAATTCTGAGAAAAGTTTTCATGCAATTTTTTGCCATGTTCTTCTAAATTAAGAAAATTTGTTTATCATCTAATAATTATGAGAAAATTTTCATTGAGGAAATTTTTTTTCCCCCTAAATTAACACGATTTTGAATTCTGACAACATTTTTCATGGAAAAAAAGTTTGTTCCTGATCGAACAAGATTATTATCACAGAATTCTGAGAAAAGTTTGTTTTAAAAAAGAGGCCATTTTTCTAATTAAACAATATTATAACTCAGCTTTCTAAGAAAGGTTCTCCTAGGGAAAATTGATTGATTGAGAATCATTATCTCAGAATTCTGAGAAAAGTTTAAGAAAAAACAAACTTTTTTCCCTCTAAATTAACGAGATTATATTATCTCAGAATTGTTTGGATTTCTTACACAAGTTTTCATGAAAAAAAAAATCCTGTTTTTATGAATTGACGAGATGATGTAATTGAGAAAAATGAGCATCATTTTTTTCATGAAAATTTTTCTGAGAATACTGAGATAATAATTCAGAAAAGCGGGGCCAATTTTTTTCTAAAGTAAATGTATTATGCTTCCTTAATATTTTATGCAGGCAAAGTTATTTTTCTTTTTATGAAGACAAAATTAAAAATGCAGTATTGGGGGAGTATGGTATTGACAACCAAAATAAAAAAACTTAATTTACTATGTGCAATTTATAAATTACTTTGCAAAATTTTATTAGCCATTTTATTGTCAATTAACTCATTTTGGATCCCAAGCCCTAACTCAAGGTGTACTCACCATCATTATTCCTCTTATACAAAGACAGACACAGTGCTCAGATATCTTTTGCAGTGCATAGCCATTTATTAACGCTGAAAGTGTTTTAGAGCGTGGACAAAGCTGTACAAGAACCACAGCAGCAGAGGCAGACGCCCAGACAATGAAAACAAGTTGCATTTCAAGAGTCATCAGGTTATCTGAAACAACCGTAAAATATTTGGCCGGTTTCTCTTCATGAACAGATTACAAGAAGAAAGGCATTGCAGACTTTGGATTGTTAGTTTAATATCAACCGTTGGTCCTTATTATAACAGATGATTTGGGGAAAGTGAAGTTAAATACTGAAACCACTGCACTTCTGAAAAAAGGACCATACCACCATTTTTACGAGATACCCCCTTTAACAACAAAACAAGTTTAATTTATTACAGATAACTTTTTACTGCTATTTTTGTACTTGTCCTGCCTTCCATGCAGCAACTGCTTTCCATTTAGTCTGTGTAGTATTAAAAATCAGGTGTGTAATCTAGTGATCCACCACAGTGAACATCAAGTCTGGATATATTAGTGTTGAAGCTCCAGTGTTTTTGTTTACTGTTTAACTGCAGATTTAAGTTGAAATGTCACATAGCAATTTTCAGAACACAAGCAAAACTGTTGGTATGGTCCTTTTAATATAGTTTGCGCAGTGGGGAGCGGAGCGGAGGGGGTACATTAGAGCCCTACTGATACCTGATTTTTGAGGCCAATACAGATAAATAATTGTGTTAAATCAGATGATTTATTGGCTGTTATGTTAATATGTTTTTCTTAAATTAGAGAGAGAGTCAATTAATCTATTGAAATAATAATAAAATAAAATAATAAATAACTACATTTGTAAATTTTGCTCTCTGCTGAACAAATAATGTAAAGACAACAGTTTTTAAAGGTCCAGTGTGTAAGATTTAGTGGCACCTAGTGGAGAGGATTGCAGACTGTAACCAGCTGAAACTTCACCCAGTTAGAATTTCTGTGTTTATAGTTCAAATAATCAGCAGAGGTCTCTTCCTCTCCAAAACAAGCGCACCCAGTGATTTTAAATGATAAAAACACTAAATAAAGAAGTTTCAAGAACAATTTAGCATTTTTCCGTCACTGCTAATCAGATGAATTTCTAACTAGTGAGGAGGGTCGCTAGCGCAGCACCTGCTGTCACATGCTCACCTTTTCTTTTGCTTTTTTTTTTTTTTTTTAAATTTGATTTAAACTGGCAAAAACACTGAAAAAAGCAGTTTCATGTCATTGATTCATTTTTTTCCCCCTTCACCTTTCAGCACAGATGGGCTTCTAACTACGGTGGCTGACCTGAACGCAATCGCCCGATCTCGAGGCAGTGTTTGGTTTCTCTGCTCTGGGCTACTGTAGAAACATGGCGGTGCAACATGGTGATCTCCATAAACGAGAAAACGCTCCCTAGGTAGATATAAACAGCTCATTCAACAGAAACATGATTATTATTTTCAGGTGATTATTCACTCAAAGAAAACATTTATTTTATTGTGTTCCATTTCTGCCAACATATTGCCCCAAATCCTACAAACTGGACCTTTCAATGACCTCGAACATATCTTTGGCATTTCTGTAGTGCTGTAGGTTAGCCGATATGTGCTGGATGCTGTTATATGTGTGATATGATAGAGATGCTCTCATGTATCAGTTGGGCTCTAGTTTGCATGCCAGACGTTGTGAGATTGAGCTGGTTTGACTGATGTAAGACTTTATGGACAGAGGAGGCCACAGACGGGTGAGCTCTACATTCACACAGCCTTCACTGCACATGCTCAGACTGCCACATCTGACACCAGCTTATGTACAACTCTGACTGGCAGTTAACATGTGACTCGACACTCTAGTGCAGCACAGACAGGGCCAGCTGACATTTCACTGAACACCTCTTAAATACACCCCGCGCTCCACGTCATGCACCTACATATAAACCTGGTTAAAGTGCAGAACATGGTCGAAGGGGAGACATTTAAGACGATGAATTTTTTTTAAAAACAGGCTGTAGTACAAAGAGGGTACAAGAGCGACAACAATTCCATAGGAATCTAAGATGATTTGAACACATCTGTCCATCCCCCTTTGTCCATCTGTACAGACTCTTCACCTCCCACCACCACAGACAGGGTGAGGGGACGCAGCCTTGCCCATATTAATGAGATTCATGATTTCAGCATAAAAAAAAAAAAATCCCAGGATTCACAGGTGGGAGTGGAAAACCTGCAGCTCTGGAAGTTGATGGCGGCAGATGAGAAAGTTTAGTTCTTAGGCGCTTGTGTGGATTCAAGGAACTCCTTTGCTGCAGATGACAGATTCTGCACCAGTTGTCTGACCACGCCCTCCTGCTCTTTGGCCCAGGACAGGCTGTCATCCAGGGCGACGTTGACTGGCACACACACAGCTTCCTTCTGCAAGTCGGTCAGTCGGCAGGCAGCGGCAACTCCGGCCAATCCCAGGAGCAGCAGGAGAAGGAGCTTGAACATCAGGCCAATGAGAGAGCGTCGGGGTTTAGGTGCTGATTCCTCAACGACCTTTTTATCTGCTGAGATGAAGCAGGAGTGACGTTAGAACAACTCCTGGGCTACCAAAGATCTACACTAATCAAGGACAGTCAAGTCAGCAGCCAAACACCAACCACATCAGTTCAAGAATTAACAAAGTTACCACCATGCTTCTCCCAAAACCTCTCTGCTCACTGTTTGTTTTCTAGGTAAGATTCTTTGATAATGAATGTCACTCTTTTTTTGGTCAACAGATCATCCCATCCTCCTTTAATGCATCAGACTGATCCACTGGACTACTGGCACAGTATCGACACTCTGCATGCTTGTATGTATGTATGTGTTATTGTTGTTAATTTATTACATACTATGACTTTTTTAGTGACATTTTATCATAAACTATACTGTAGTATTTCTAAGGATGTTTTAATGGCATAATATACTATGATTTCTGACGACATACTATGACACTTTTTCATGGTTTCTGACGACATACTATACTATGACTTTTTTCATGATTTCTGGCGACATACTATGACTTTTTTCATGATTTCTGACGACACGCTATACAATGACTTTTTTCATGATTTCTGATGACATACTATACTATGACTTTTTTCATGATTTTTAATGACATACTATGACTTTTTTTCAATGATTTCTGATGACATGCTATACAATGACTTTTTTTCATGATTTCTGACGACATACTATGACTTTTTTCATGATTTTTAACAACATACTATACTATGACTTTTTTTCTTCATGATTTCTGACAACATGCTATACTATGACTTTTTTTCATGATTTCTGACGACATACTATGACTTTTTTCATGATTTTTAACAACATGCTATACTATGACTTTTTTTCATGATTTTGGACGACATGCTATACTATAACTTTTTTCAATGATTTCTGATGACATATTATGATATATGACGTGTTTTCATGATTTCTGACGACATACTATGACTTTTTTTCAGGATTTTTAACAACATACTATACTATGACTTTTTTCATGATTTTTAACAACATACTATACTATGACTTTTTTTCATGATTTCTGACGACATGCTATACTATGACTTTTTTTCAATGATTTCTGACGACATGCTATACAATGATGATTTTTCATGATATTGGACGACATACTATACTATGACGCTTTTTCATGGTTTCTGACGACATGCTATACTATTACTTTTTTTCATGATTTTGGACGACATGCTATACTTTGACTTTTTTTTCATGATTTCTGACAACATGCTATACTATTACTTTTCTTCATGATTTTGGACGACATACTATACTATGATGATTTTTCATGATTTTAGACGACATACTATACTATGACTTTTTTTCATGATTTCTGATGACATGCTATACTATGACTTTTTCATGATTTCTGACATGATATACTATGACCTTTTTTCATGATTTCTGATGACATGCTATACAATGATGATTTTTCATGATGTTGGACGACATACTATAATACTATGACGCTTTTTCATGGTTTCTGACGACATGCTGTGACTTTTTTTCATGATTTCTGACGACATGCTGTACTATGACTTTTTTCATGATTTCTGACGACATACTATACTCTGACTTTTTTTCATGATTTTGGATGACATACTATAAGTTTTTTCAATGATTTCTGACGACATGCTATACAATGATGATTTTTCATGATTTCTGATGACATATTGCTATATGATGTTTTTTCATGGTTTCTGACGACATGCTATACTATAACTTTTTTCAATGATTTCTGATGACATATTATGCTATATGATGTTTTTTCATGGTTTCTGACGACATGCTATACTATGACTTTTTTTCATGATTTTTAACAACATACTATACTGTAACTTTTTTCAATGATTTCTGACGACATGCTATACAATGATGATTTTTCATGATTTTGGACGACATACTATAATACTATGACATTTTTTCATGGTTTCTGACAACATGCTATGACTTTTTCTCATGATTTTTAACAACATGCTATACTATGACTTTTTTCATGATTTTGGACAATATACTATACTCTGACTTTTTTTTGTTAACACTTTTATCACATCCTATACCATGAAATTTTATGGCATACTATTCTGTGACAATTTTATCACCCACTACACTATGTAATTTTTATGGCATACTATGACCCTTTTTTCTTTTTCTTTTTTTTTTTTTTTTTT